ATGTGGTCCCCGGGCTCATTCCTGAGCCTGCTGCCCATGGGGGTGCCACAGTTACCCTTTCCCGCCCTTCAAGGACAAGCCGCACAGGCAGAGGTTAGGGTAGGGCACTCTGGATTTGTAAGCCTGTGCGAACTGCCAAAGCCCTGTGCCCGCCCCGGCAGGCAGGAAAACCACCTGCTTGTCTGTCTGCTTGTCTATCTCTCCCCAGCCAGTAGTGCTGGCTCTTTTGGTTATTGTTGTGGCAGAAAGTAGTTAACATGTTTTTTCCTCCAAAAAGTAAAAAATAGTTTAGCAGAATATTAAATGAGGATTTTTGATCCCCTCGTATTAAAAATAATGTGTTTTATCTTATTATAAAAGTAATGACTAATTACAGACTCAGGAAACAGGACCTTTGCAGATGTAATTAAGGATCTTGAAATGAGATCATGTTGAATTTAGGGTGGGCCCTAAATCCAGTGATTTGTGTCCCTACAAGAGACAGATCTGAAACACCGAGACACGCAGGAGTCTGCCATGTAAAGATGGAGACAGAGATCGAAGCGATGTCCCCTCTAGGCAAGGAGCGCCCCCGACTGCCAGCAGTTAGCAGGAGCCAGGGAAGAGGCAGGGAATGGTTCCCCTGCAGAGCCTCCAGGCGGCCCCCACCCTTCCAACACCTTGAATTGGGACCCCTGGCTTCTAGGACTGGGAGAGGATAAATTTCTGCTGTTTTAAGCCACCCAACTTATGTTAATTTGTTATAGCAGCTACAAGAAACTAACACCCTCAGGTAGAGCAGGAGGGGACCACAAGGCTGGGTGGACCCACTCTGGCACTGCAGCACCCGCTCCTCCTGCAGCAGCATTGCTGGCCGTTCCTGGGCTCCAGGACACTCCTTCTCAACCTTCTGAGAACGAAGTAATCTCGATAAACAGAAGAATCTCAGTAGCAAAGTTCCGTCCAGGTCCTCAACCGAAAACAAAAATTAGTTGAGCTGATGCAGGAAGAGTCAGCCCCTCCCAGCTGAGTCTACTCCTGTTCTTTTTGTGCATGCATAGGAGTGAGGTGCTAGGGAGCCGCTCTGCGGAGGAGGTACTAACCTGCTTTCCATTTTAAAACTAGGGTTCATACTAGAGATCAAAATCTTGTCTTTCTGGAAAAGAAAGACATGTTCCTTTGACTACATTCCAAAACACTGGAAGTAGCAGAAATCAAATATGCCCCTGGGACTTCTTGAAAAGTCATAGAATTCATCAACCTGATGATTCCTCAAGACTTTATTAATTTATAATATTGTGTTCCATCAAGATCATCACTTTTTATTATCTTGCTGCTCTGAATTGTATCTCCCTTATTATTCTCATCTACAGGGGCCATAAATTAAAATCATGCAGAATTTATAATCTTACAGTTCATTATCTGTGATTGGTATTATCTCACTGCTTTTTTCTGGCCCTTCTATATCCCCTGACAAGAAATATGGCAAGAGAGTCTAAATACCATCTAACCAATAAATGTTGGCTTAAAAAAACCTCTAGTGACTACACTAGTCTAAAGGGCACTCATCACTCCTTCTTATCTCTACTATCAGCATACTTTCTGCCAAAAAGACACAGAAATTCAGATTCTAAAGAGCTGGAAGTTAGAACTGGAATGTAAGTCCTTGCTTTGCTCTTCACCTTTACCTCTTTTTCTGATGGTCAAGGGTCTTAAAGATACATCGACTTCCTTTACAAGGCACTACTTCCTTTATAAGCCCTACTTCAGGAAACACGTAGTGATGTAATTAGTTGACTCAAAAAGGAATGAGCAGCCCATCACTGAAAGTTCTGAACACTTTCTTAGTGACATTCCAGAAGTGTCCCTGTGAAAGCTGGGATGTGGTACTTGTTTCTAAAACTTATCAAGGTGTATGAGTATAGATCCCCCGTTAGAGTCCAGGAAAAATAAACACAAGTTTTTTGAAAGTGGTGAGATTTCCCCAACTTATGTTTGGATGTGCCTGTTCACTAAAGAATCTGATACAGTAAACCGGTGTACCCACAGTGGCATTTGTCATGATTATTCACATCATCGTCCTTAGTGATGTGACATACTACTATGTTGGAAGAGCAATGTTTTTTCAGAGAGATGGAAGTTGGCAACAATTACTAAAAACTAGATATTCCAGTCTTGACTGATTTATCTAATGGGAAGAGGCTCACATTCAGCACATACCCTGGTTCTTAGGACCCAACTTTATAAAAACATAAAAGCATTGATATATTCCCATACTGATGACTGAGTGTCTTTCTCTCCACTCCCTTTTCCTTCCTTTTTCCTCACTGTAATCAGGGTAGCGTGCAGATGTCAGAGATCACAAGATAGAGGATGGAGGAGGAGAAATGGGCAGAGAGTGGCAATGCCCGATCTATTGGCACTGTTGTAAAAATTGTTTAAAAATTGGAAAAGCACCAGCTTTCCAAGTTATAAAGTCTGACTCCACAAAGTGTGTACAATAGATATTTGTCTTTCTTTCCAAAACTGTGATCACAATACAACAGTTATCAAATTTAAACAAACAAACCTACAATGATGAAAACTGCATGTACTGGAAGGACTATTTCTAGAAGCTGGGGAATGAGATCCAGAGATATCCCTAGGGGAGGCTGGATGGGAGTAAGTCTGAACGGGGGTTCACATCAATAGTACAAAAATCTAGCTATGCCTCAGAACCCTCTGAGACACTTATAAAAATGTAAAATAAAACAGAGTCCCATGGAAATTGAAGCTGCAATGAGATACTCTATTTATCTAACACATGCACAAAAATGACAGAGTCTGACAACACCAGGCACCAGCGAGAATGCACAGGCCTAGGGAAGAACACTAACACACCAGTAGTGGCGGTGTACCCTGGCACCGCCACTTTGGAAAATAGATCAGCACTTCCCGTCAAAATGGAAACCAGCACTCCCCTTCTTACATCTTTGCTCCAGAAAAACTCTCAGACACGCACATGCACCAAGATATATATATTATATAAAGGGCTCACATTAGTGTTGTTGGTAATAGCAGAAACCTGGGAACAACCCAAATGTCCAATAAGAGTAGAAGAGATAAATTGTGGTATTTTCACACAGTGGATCCAAAACCAAATGAACCACAGCAACACGTATTAAAATGGACAAATCACAAAACAATAGTTTTATTCCATTTGTATAAGAGTTTGCAAACCTAGTCCAAATGCCGTTTGGGGCTACATACCTAAGTGGTAAGGCCATAAACAAAAGCAAATAAATCATGAACGCAAAATGCAGGGTAGTGGTTGCCTCGGAGGGAGGAAGAGATTTTTGATGTAGGCGTGGGACAGAACAGATTGTAAAGAGATGGACAACGTTCAAATTCTTACACTTGACGGTGAGAATACAAGTGGTGACTTTATTATAATCTTTAATCCATGCGTATATGTTTTATCTTCTTTTTTTGCACATGCTAAATTTTATAATAAAAATTTAAAAATGAGCAGATTTCTAGACTCCACCTCAGATCTATTGAATCAGAATCTCAGGCTGTGGGGCCTATGCAGTATTTTTTATAACTTCTCCAGAAGATTCGGATGCACTATCGGGTTACAAGCCAATCCCATACATACACACACCCTACAGCATACCTCGATATCCAGGTGAAAGCAGCTTACCATATAAATCAAGGTTAGGCAAGTTCAAGGGAGTCATAACAAAAAAAAGGAGAGTCTGTAGGATTCAAGGGTTCAGGGCTGACATAGAAGCCTGAGAGCATCAGGTACTTCTGTGCCACCTCCAGTGGCTCCCGTGAGCTTACCTGAGCCCTATTCCTGTTAAGATGCCCACTGACACGAGCCCGGGGTACACACCCCCACAAAAGGGGCCCAGGGCAAGCTCTGGCCATAGCTTCTGCTACCAGGAAGACACACAATGTGGTAGAAAGCATCCTTGTCTGGGACCCATCACAACAGCCATCTAGACCTGCACCCATATGTACAAGTCGTGTCATCTTTAGCAAGTTCCTTCCCCTTCCTGAGCCCTGGCTTTCTTGTCTTCACGGTCTCCCTCCTAAAACTGCAATCTAGTGAGACAGTGGAGGTGAAAGGGCTCTACAGACTGAATGGACCATGTCAATTATTATTTCTTCCTGAGAGCCAGAAACATAGGCTGTTGATTCCAAGTCAGTTGTTTCCTGGGTCCAAGGACATGGAAGCTCTAAGATGTGCCTTAGAGAGAACTGAAGGCAGGAGTTGGGCTTAGTGTGTCCACATCGCTCCAAAAACTCAGCAGATATTTAAAAAGCACCTACTACTGACCCAGAGCCTGCCTTTACCAGCCCGTGATAATTCAGAAGGGGATGTTCCCAAACAGCTCAGGACTATTAGAAGCGCCTTGCAAAGCTATTAAGTATACTGATTTTCATTAATGGTTTTGAAACTAATACTTAATCTGGTTACACAATACCTTCCAAATTAGGATTGCCAGATGTAGCAAATAAAAGTGCAGTGCACTCAATTAAATGTTAATTTTTTAGTATAATTGGAATAATTTTTAAAGTATAAGTATGTCCTAACTATTACATGAGATATACTTATATGAAAAAGATCACCTGTTGCTCAAATTTAACTGGGTGTCTTGTGTTTTATCGGGCAGCCCTGATCCAAATGGACAAGATCAGCACTTTCTCCTGCATCTTACACTGGGAAATCTGAGTGAAAGAGAGTATTGAAACCCTGGTGTGTTTTGTTTTTTTGTTTGTTTGTTTGTTTTGTTTTTGTTTTTTTTTAACTTGGCAAGGTAGTAAAGGGTGGATTAATCTTGAAATTGGACTTGCATCCTCCCCTTCCTTGCATGGCCCAAGAACACACAGAGAGGCCCAGGAATGAAAAGCAGGTTTCAAAGGAAATAGGATAGAGCAGGGGATGGGGGAAACCTTAAAATGTCAAACAGAAATTGACACTCCAGCCCGGGCCTGACCCATGTAGAACACCTTGCAGTGGCCTCTGCCCTTACCTCTGGGCATCTCCTTGGAATGCTCTGCCTCGGGCCCATCCAACAGGTCCAGCTGGGAGGCCTCCTCGGAGGGGACGCGGCGCCAGGACCAGCTCTGGTTCCCGAGGTCGTGCAGCGGAGGGGAGTACTCCAGTTCACAGGGGAAGTCGAAGCTGCACTCCAGACCTGCAACAGCAGCCAGCGGTCAGCGGGGCACACTGTTTCCCAAATGCGACTTTCTAGCCCCATGCCTCCACTGCAGGAAGCTGGCCTGCATCTCCTGCAAATCTTCACCCTACCCTGAAGTGGCACATGGTCAACTTCACTGGTGGCTGGGCTCCACACCGGTGAAAAGGAGACTGAGAGGAAAAAGGTGCTCTTGGTGTGACTCAGATGACGGAAGGCGTCCTCCGGGAAGGCAAGTTAAAAAAAAAAAGCTAACAGCTTGTACCATTAGACGCTCTGCATCCTAGGAGGCTACCTGGTGACAAGGAGAGGGCCTGAGGGCAGAGGGCAGAGCCCGGCTTTGCAACCAGACAGGCCTGAATCTAAGTCTGGCTCTGCCATTTACCAGCTGGGTGACACTAGGAAATAAAATTAACTTCCCTGGTCTCACATTTCCACACCTGTACATTGGGGATGATAATAACTACTTCTGGAGTTCGCTGCCAAAACTACTAGGATAATGCATTGTCTATATTCATGAGCCTAGCCCATCGTTGATGCTCAAAAAAAAAAAAAAAAAAAATGCGAGTCAGGTCCTGCCCTCTCTGAGAAGAGGAAGCCAAAGGGAATGCAAGCCCTGCGCACAGCCCTGTTTGCCAGGCCTGTCGTCCACCTGCAACAGCTCCCCGGAGAAGAGGGTTAAGGCTATGCCAGCTAATCCAGGTTTATTGTCTCTTGGGGAAGGAATGGGAAAGGTCACTAGATAAGAAGAAAGAAGAGAGGTGGGAAGAGGCCATGTCCTGGGATGTTTTATGACCTTTTTCTGGGCTTTTTAGGGGGAGAGTGATCCTTGTGTCCAAATCATTCCATGTTTGCTGTCCTTCCAGGGTACAATCACCTTCCCGTTCCCTCCCTTACTCATTGTGCATTACCCATGGGGGGTGAAGTATTTATTGGCTGGTAGGCTCACAATGCTACCTGATGCATTAACAGAATATTTACCGAAAATGCCAATCATGTATCCACCTTTTACTTTATCGTCTTTCCTCAGCAGGGGTTGTGAAGAAAAAAAGAACGCACATCAAGAACAAACTACTGGGTCAGAAATTTGAGGGAAATTTGAGGGTTTCACTGGGTTCCAGCTCTGGCCCTGCCACTGATTTGTTGGTTACTTTTAACAAGCCACTTAGCCTCACTGGGCATCGAGTTCCTCAAACTGAGAACTAGACTAGCTGTTTTCTAAAGCTCCATACTGAGGTAACCTTTTAAAGGTTCCAAATCCTCGCTCTCAGGATTTATAACTGAACTGATAAATCAGTCTGTACAATGGTGCTAATGGGTGCTAAGTCCTAATCATCACTGTGCACTTTAATAGCTGATTCTGGGGCTACTGCTCTCTTGTTCTCCAAGATGAGTCTGGTGTTGAGAATTTCGGAACACTGAGAAGTGGAGCCAATCCTCGTGTAGGCAGGGGGCCACTGGACGGTCACACCCGTAGGGAGCTCGCTGGCCCTGCCCCGGAGTGGGAGTAAAATAATTCCCATTGACACCACCAGCCAAACCATCTAAGTTTAGGGGGAAGAAAAAAAAATCCTTCAATTACACTTCTATTAAGTATCTTTCTGCTTCTCAGCCAGTGGAAATTTATGTACCAACTACTCTCCAGAAGCTGCCACTCTTCTGGTCCTAAGGTTAATACCACTTGACCTTTCACGATCCAGACAATTCACCTTTATAATGGCAAGCTGAAACAGGCCTTGTTTGAGTTGACATGACACTTGCTGCCTACATATTTTGTCAGCCTGGAAGACCTTCCGCCTGCCTCTGGGGGCTGAGCTGCCGCTCTGAATTGGTATCCATGAATTGTAGGCTGTCTTCATCTTCAAGACTTTCTTGCCAGGCATCTGGTTTTGATAGCAGAATGCAAGGAGAAAACTGATCCAACGTGTTGTACTCAGTAACGCAGAAATTATCCTCATAATGAAACTAGTAGGATAATGCATTGTCTATATTCATGAGCCCAGCCCATCGTCGATGCTCAAAAAAATACTCATAGTGTAGCCACCAAATCTGGCTCTTCTGGGAAGGCTCAAAAAGACCCATCCACACTAGGAAATGATCCAGTCATAAGATGAGAGAGAAGGTTTCTGGCCATCCCCAAACCACATCAACTACTGCTGGTGCCTTTCTCAGAGTGTTAACTTCTGTGGCCCATCCTCTGTCTTAATTCTTTTCCTCCAGTTAAAGTCACCCTACTTCTGTTTGGGACAGGCGTATGGTGTGCATTCTCAGACACCACCTGGCAAATGCGCCTTGTGTACATAGTATAGATAAACAGAGAACAGAATGTATAATCATCATCAAGTATCATGAACCTTGGGACCTTTGAACTCTGGGAAGTCTAATATCGGCCGTGCTTGGACCAGACCCTGCCTTGTGAAACAGGCGAGGCAGACATTCCAATTATCAAATGGGCTCATTTTGAAATTTCTGCTCCAAGGCAGCCTGTCCTTAGCTGTCAAAGCTGTACTATTTGGCTTTAAATAAAAATGGAGTTAACATTACCGCTCATTTTGGGTGAAATTAAATTGGGCTTTTCTACATTCTGATTTAATTTCTCATTAAACATCAAGATGGGTTTCTTGCTCCTGAGCTAGCTAGTCCTCATGTCTTTTGTACAATAATGCGTGGGATGCGTCTTTTCTAAAAACACCAGGGTAAGTCTCATTTTCCTAACGTCATTTTTGAGGCTCTAGACCTAAGGGGCTTCTTGAATCTTTCTCTTTGACCTTCCTCTGGCTCAGTCCCTGGGAGATGGGAACTGTGCAGGCTATTTTACAGATGGGACTGAGACGGATCAAGGCCTTAGTGCAGTGCTTAGCCTTAAGTAGCCCAATGGCGAAGGCAGGCCCACACTGAAGGGAAGGACAGGACGATGACATTCGTTGAGGCCCAGCTATTTGCCAGCAACTATGCTAGGTATTTTCTTATGTCACTACATTTAGTTTGCAGAAAAACAATGAGAAGTGAATGATGTCCTCTCTCTATAGATGAGAAAGCTCAGGCTCAGAAAGTTTATTCTTCTTGTGAAAAGATCAAAGAACAACCCTAAGGCAGAACCAGAATGTGACCCAGGGCTGGATAATGATGAAAACCCAGGTATTTTTCATCACACCTCCACAGCTTCAAAATTTCAATCCACTGTTATATTTGGTTATTAGACTCAAAGTCTGCAACCTCATCAGATCTGCAAAGGCTTCTCTACTACCCTAGGGGACAGATCGATATTTCCTCTGCATCAGGCCCATTTCGCAAAGTGACAGCAACCTTCAGAAGAATCCGAAGATCTCAACCTTACTTTATGTACCTCTTAGGACCTAGGAGGACAATCTAATTATTGTAAAACACAATGAGAAACAGACATACTTTCTAGAACCTTCTGATCACAGAGTTGAAATCACAACCACCCACTTTCTAGTTACTTCCATCATGAAAGAAAAATAAGGTAATGGAATATCCTGGAAAGAGTTGGCCTGCTGAGAGTCAAGTGCTGTTGAGGGAAAGGTCTTGGCTGGGCAGTGAGGACGGTTCCAGGCTCAGTCCTGCAAACAGCAGCTGAAGCACCTCAGCAGGAATATCCCCCTCTCTGTGTCTAGTTTTGTGCATTTGAAAAATGAAATAAATGGAGCATACACCCTCTACGGTGCCCTCCATCTGTGAAGGTCACTTATTCTATAGGGCTCATTCTGGACCAACACAACCGAACACATAGACTGTCAGTCAGCCACTTCCATTCTGTCTTGTTCCAAATGAGGGCTTGTTGCCATCCCTAGAAGCGAATTCCTCATGGCAGGAGGCTGAATGTGCATCCCACTCAACAGGGATTCAGTGTATCTCCAAATTCTCCAAGACTTAAGAAGGAAAACTCAGGTAAGTTTTACAGATGACTGTTCCTGGATGATGGTGTGTGTGTGTCTGTTTTCATGCATTTTTATCTGTTTGTACCTATATTCTGAACCCCTTCAGAGTATGAGTCACATTTCAAAAACTGAATTCATTAGCAGTTAGCTTCAAGACATTGTCCTAGTATAAAATGCAGCCATTCAGAAGGCTGTTATGGTAACTGATGAGAAAACTCCATGGTGACCCTGCCCAGAGATGCCCAGTTTCCTAATCAAACTCCCTTGTCTGCTAAGAAGTTGGCAGTGACCACCCACTCTGACACTGAGTCTGAGGGTGGAAATCTAGTCGTTAGGTATGTGTGAGGCTATCCAAGTAGTCATGTGCAAGGCCTGTGCCTAGTGATGTCTAGTTTTGTGCATTTTAAAAATGAAATAAATTGAACATATACCCTCTGTAGTGCCCTCTGTCTATGAAGGTCATTCCTGGGCAGAGATGGGGACCGTCCCAGCCTAAGGCGCGTGAAGGAGATTGTGTCAAAGTTTTAGGCACCCGTCCGCAACACCATGGAAGGGTAGCCTGGAGATGTGTACTTTGGACATTCAGATCATCCCTTGGGTGAGCTTAGAAAACCCAACAGTTCTCCTTTGTTGCTAGACTGGCCTCAGGGTCCAAAAAAGAAAAAAAAAAATCCCTTGAGCCTAGGCCTTTCATGCTGTCTTGATCTTGACCCTAGAAACCCAGAGACCTCTCGCTGGTTTCTTCAGTCCCTTAGTCAATTTCCAGTTAGGGAACAAGCAACCTCCTTTAGTTTTTAAGATACTGGTTCAAAGGCTAACCACTTCCCAGAGGACCACAGGGAGGCAGAGGCCTTAAGAGCAGCTGTCCTGGGGTAGGTTGCAAGAGTTTACTGGTTAATGTCACTCAGTCTCAGCCCGTCACAATATCAGGAAGCAAATATTACAAAGTGAAAACCAATAATAAAAAAGAGAACACATGCTTATCAATCCCACGGATACTCGCCCTTTTTCGTTTTGTCTCATATTACGAGTGTTTCAGAAGTCAAGCTTGGAGTCACACTTAGGTTCTTGACTCTGGCAGCATGGGGTGCGTGTTTATGG